GCACTTTCCCTAAGGCTCCACAGTGGTTACTTTTACTAACAAAAGAAATATCTAAGGGAACCTCATTGGTCTTTCTCTCACCTTGAGCCCTCTGCTACCTTCGGCACTGTTAACTCTCCCTTCTTAACATTCTTTCTTCCTTACGCTTCTACATGTAGTATAACAGTTTCCCTTGATTTCCTCATGATCCCTGAGTTTTAAATTTGAAGCCTGGTTCTACCACTTTCTCTGTGTGGCCCTGGGCAAGTGATGAGACTTCGAGTGTTATTATGAACTTGTCAGCTTCTATCTGCCCCTGCCACATTAGTCCAGGTCCCAGTAGGGTACAAAAGCAACAGTAAAGAGTCTAACAAAGGCAGTATTGCCAGGGATGGTGAAGCATCAGAAAACCATTACCAGAGCTGGGGTAGAGCTGAGAACTTGGTAAATAGGACTCTTTGTTCACAGAATAATTCAACCATTGCCAAAACCATAGTAAAATTTGGGAAGAGAGGAAAATACTGACCACCTGTTATTGCTACTATCCTCCAATATTTTGCTGATGTCTTTCACTGGCCAAACCTAACTGGAAACCCAGAGCACAACAGAGCCTGGAAGACGCAGGCTCTAGAAGTCGACCTCCTGAGAAGCACAGCAAGCCATGGGAGGGTGGAAAGTGAACCTAGATGGAGAGCCAGCAGCCAGCAGCCAGCACACGTGCACACTGCCCACCATTCACCTAACACACGTACCCCTTCCAGGGACTATGGCAAGGAATCAGGATGCGAGGGTTCACAGGACAGGAAGGATGCCCACTCTCATGGTGTTTTTACCTTACTTGGAGGCAGAAAGTAAAGGAATAAACACGCAAGGCAATTTCTAGTGGGCAAAGTGCTATGAAGAAAATAAGGAGCTCAACTCTGACGCAGAGAGGGCAGTGCTTTCATTAAAGGTAATCAGGGAATCATCTCTGAGATGATAGTAGAGCTTAGAATGAATCAGAACAAGACCAGCCTTTCTAAGGACCAAAACAGAAAGTATGTTCAAAACAGAGAGATAAGCAAGGGCACAGGGTCAACACCCTGAGGTGGAACCATCTGGCTCTGCCAGGGGAGACACAGAAGGCCAGGGTGGCTGCAGCACGCTAAAGGGAGGGTGGCCGGAGGTGAGGTAGGGATGGCAGGGAAAGGCTAGATCATAAAGGGCTCTGTGGGCCAGGTGAGGCGTTGGGTTTTTCTCTGATATAACAGTTTTAGGCTGGTCATAGTGGGCTGGTATGTATAGATTAAGACACATCTGATTTCCAATTGTAAAATATAATTTTCACAATTCTATGGAAAACAAACTGTGGAGAGATGAGAGTGGAAATGTCCCATCACAGTTGTATTGCCCTGATCAGAATTCCCAGGTCCAGAAGAGCTGGATGGTGTTTGGCATGGTTAGACCAAGATGGGTGCCTGACCCAAGAGGGACCCATCACGGCTAGCTGGTGGCCCATAAAGTGGCTCAGAATGAACAGCTCTGCAACTAGATTCTACTCCTCTGAAATGAGGATAGAGAGTAAGAGGAGGATTAGTTGGGCAGCTGGTAGTATATGCATAGATTAAAGAGGAAGAGAACAGAGACACTGTAGAAAGAAAGAAGAGGGTCGTTATTATGGCTGGGTTCCTAATAGCTACTTACATATCTATATAAATATTCTTGCTCTAACCCTTTTAATTAAGATACTCTCAGAGTCTTCCTTTCCTGCAAGCAAAAAGACTCTAAGAAGTACATTGGTATCCCCAAGGTCTCCTCCTTAGACCTCTTCTTCTCATTTACATTAGTCAGAAGTGACAGAGCTCAGTTTGGGTAACGAAACTCTCAAACATCAGTGGCTTAAACCAACCTAGGTTTGCTTCTCACTCACTTTACATATCCACCAAGATGTGGCTGGAACTCTTTTCTGCATTATCTTCCCTCCAAGGCCAAGACTGACAGAGCATACCCTCTCTGGAATACTGTTGACTGCCATGGCAAAGAGAAAAAGAGTTCTGGAAGGTCTCGCATCAGCAATTAAATGCTACGCTCACAATTCATTGGTAGAATGTGTCATGTAGCTCGACCCAACCACGGGAGGCCAGGGCATGCCATCCAAGCATGCACTGAAAGAGAACAGGAGCTACTCGTACACCTACTACCATCTACTCATACAGAACCATGGCTTTAATGACTGCCTAAGTACCAGTGTAAAATTTCTAAAAGAGATGCCCCATTTTATCTCCATATCTGTATTTTTAATCACCTACTAGAATACTACATTTGGATGGCATCACAGACATCTCAAGTCTCATATATCCAGACTGAACCCTTCATCTTTCCCACAAACTTTCTGTATTCTCTCCATTGGTCAATGGCCCTATTATCTACTTACTATCTCAAATAAGAAACCCAGATGTTATCCTTGATTCCCTCTCTTTATCTTCTAACACCTAATCAGTCACTAAGTTTCTAACTTATCCCCACTCTACTAACACCAGGATCCTCATCCTACTTCAGCATCTCATGGATTTTTGTTCAGGCAATTCTATTGATATTAACCTCCTGTCAGGTTCTCCTGCCTTTATTTCTTCCACTATAAACTGCAATCATTCATGTATTCAATGGACATTTAAAGAGGGTTTATTGCTTCACAGATTAAATAAGTAATGAGACCATGTTGAAGAAATTCAAAATCAAAGAGGGAGACAGTGATGTAAACAAAAATTACAGCACAATGAGACCAATGTAATAATAGCTATGTAGAAAGTACCCTGGGAATGGAAAGGAAATACCAAACTCAGCGTGATGGTAATGGGAAGGCAGTGTGGGATGCTTCCAGAGACAGCAAAACTTCAGGTAATTCCTGTGAGAACAGTCCGAGCTGCTCCTCCAGTGAACACAGGAAGAGGAAAGGCCTTGAAGGAAGCAGCAAGTGCTTGGCACCCTGCAGGGTCTCTCCTGACTCAGGAGCACTGGCTCGGAGTGCTGATCAGCAAGGACCCCAAGCGTGTCTTGAGCAGTTGTTTTTGGCAGACAAGTGGATGGAAGGTCATCTGCCGAGGTAAGAAAACCAAAAGGGAGAGCAGAGCTGTGGGAGATGATACTTTTAATTATGATACTCTCATTTAGTTAACATTTACTGAACACTGACTTCAGGTAGAGTGCTAACCACTTTAATCTATTTTGTTTAATCCTCACAATAATCTCAGCAGGTAGAAATGTACTATTAGTTTCATTTTGCCATTTAAAAAGAAACACTACGATGGGCGGCGCCTGTGGCTCAGTGAGTAAGGTGCCAGCCCCATATACCGAGGGTGGTGGGTTTGAACTCAGCCCCGGCCAAACTGCAACAAAAAAATGGCTGGGCATTGTGGTGGGCACCTGTAACCCCAGTTACTCGGGAGGCTGAGGCAAGAGAATCGCCTAAGGCTAAGCCCAGGAGCTGGAGGTTGCTGTGAGCTGTGACGCCACAGTACTCTACCCTGGGCGACAAAATGAGACTCTGTCTCTAAAAAAAAAAGAAAAGAAAAGAAAAGAAACACTATGAATCAGAGGTTAATGACAGGACTAGTTACTACATGTGTCTTGTACCAAAGCCTAAACGATGATCTACCAAGCTATTCTAAGTTTGAGGTGCCAGCAGGAATTCCCCCTGCAGGTGCCCAGGGCTGTCATATAGGGAAGGATGGGCAACGAACGAGATCCAGACTTGGGGATCGTGGGAGGGACGCTTGGATGAGATGGCTCAGAGAACTCTAAAAAGAAGAAAAGGGGACCCGGGGAAGACTAATCTTAAAAAGGCAAAAACCCTAGTCCAGTACCTGGCACTCAATGAAGCAACTCTAAAGTCAGTAGAATTGTGACAAGCATGGGCCGCCATTCCCACCTAAAGGACCACAGGACCTTGCTACCCGGGGAGGCAAATCAAAGTCAGAGAAGGAGGGCTGGACAGCCCGCAAACCTCTTCAGAACAGACCAAGAACTCTTTCCCTAATTCGCCAGGGCAGTTGTAGATGTGAGAGCCACCGAGGATGCCCGCTCGGATCAGAGTTAAGCGCGGAAGCGACGCGGAGATACTGGGCGAGGATCCAAGCCGCTTGCGGACCCAGGTGTCCCGGGTCCACTAGGGGCGCGCCCTGACACGCAGGCACGCGCGCGCCCGTCTGGGAAGTACAGGAGCACGCCCGGCCCCCAGCCCGTAGTGGGACAGGCCGCCTCACAGCGCGCCCTCCCTCCCAGGGCGCGCACGCCCCCCGCGCCCGGCCTCCGCGGCCTGGGGCCTGGGCGGGCCAGCCAGCAAGACCCTGACCCCGCGGCCCGGAGGGGCGGCGCGTCGCGAGGGGCGGGGCCAGGACCCAGCCCGCCTCCGCGCGCCCGCGGCCCCGCCCTCTGTGGCCGAGAAGGGGCGGGGCGGGGCGGCGCGGGGTCCGGACTTTTCCCACTCTCCGCGGGACCGCCGCTCCGCCGCTGACTCCTCGCCCTTTCCGGGGCGTCCTCCGTCCCCCGCAAGGAGTCGAGACCCGGCGAGCGGGGCGCCATGCAGGGCCGCCGCCTGACGCGCGCCGCGGCGGACGGGCTGGCCGGCTGAGAGCCCGCGCGGGCCGAGGGATGCGGAGCCCCGGCGGGATCCTGCTCCAGACGCTCCCGCGGCTCCTGCAGCACGCCGCCCTCCC